TCTGAGATGTAAGCTGATACCATAACCGATAGAATAATGAATGAGCGATTAAAGAAAATGCATGTACTGTGTACATATGGTGGTGGTAAAAAGTGTTGCATAATCAGCAATTCACGCCGCCATTTACGTTTTATCGCAATAGAATCGTTGCTAATTAGTGTACATTGTAGTGAGACCGTAATATATGCAAAATGCTTGCAGGTATAAAACTCGTGAATTTTGGCTCTACATCATCATAACTTGGATTAGTGTGTGCGCGATTAAAGAACTTTGTTTTTACAGAACCGAGTAGTTAACAAAAAGAACAGACCTCGTAACCCATGCGCCCCAATGAAGAGTCAAGAACCCCTATCACATTTTTTGCCTTCAGGAAAAGTTCTTTGGGAATCTCAGGAAAAGCCGCCACGACTATCCTCGACCATTAAATCTTAACTTCTGGTAATAAACTCTACCAACTTGAAAAAACCTAGTCTGATGATCACATTAAGCATAAGACTCGATTCACACTGTTCTCTCCTTATTTCGATTTGTATTTTAGGAGTAAACATACATACATACATACATACATACATACATACATACATACATCACCTTTATTTCACCTCGGATTTACAAGAGAAGCTGTATGGCTAATTTCTCCGAGAAAGAGAAAAGGAAAAAATTAAGTAAATAAATAAGCTTACTAATTTGTCTCATCTTTATCATTCTGTTATCAGAGGGAGATAGTCCATTAGTAGCATTGCACTTGTAGTCACCAAAATCTCCATCACCCCTCAGTCTCACTTTTATTCTGTTTTCTCTGGCTCTGACTCTTTTCACTTCGCTTCCATCAGGTCTGTGCCAGGTGAGTATTGGGGTAGGAACACCATCAGACAAACAATTAAGCGTAACTATCTGACCAATCCAAGACTTCTTAGTTGATTGAGTGACTTCCTGAATGGTTGGAGGATCTTAAAGGTGAAATAATTCACTATCACAACGAATGGCAAAATAAGTCGTGATGAGGGGCAACGTGGAAGGTATTTTTAACCATAGAAAGGGCAATTTTGGTACTTCGTCCACCTGAAATTTATATGGAACAGCAACCACAGAGAGGCCAGAGTAATACATTTCCTTTTCAATGAAAAAGGATTTTACACGCAAAGAAAAGCTAGAGTAGCATTATTGTTAGTCATTCTGTTGAGGGAAGGAAATATATCCTAAATTGCTTCCACAAAATGATATTAGGAGAACAGAAGTAGAATTACAGCTTTAAATCGCTTCTCTGACTTTTATAATAGTGAGGTCACTTTTATACCGTTGCCTTCAGTATTGTTAAAAACATTGCAATTTAAAGAAACCGGTAAATATTAAGAGGATTCTTCTGAGATTGAGGTTCTTTAAAATGTTATTTAAGTGAAACCCTTCCCCACTGAAAAGGAAATCACCAATGCCTTGCCTTCTGTTTGACAGTTGGTCACACTCCACCACTCACTCAATTAAGAATTCAGTGGAGCGACCTGTCAGATAACTAACCATAAGAGTAAAAAAAAAAAAAGAAATTAAGTAAATTTCATTCGCAACAATAAAAAAATTGAAATAATAATATTTATGCAATAGAAAGCTGGGAAAAACCTTCTACTGATACAAGTAATGATATACAATACAAATGTTTACTTCTGTCTTTATGACATCCTCGGAGACCCAGGGACTGAGTCGATTTCAAGCCAGGGTAGAAGAGCCCCCAGGGGACATTGTCTTACAATACTAGTTCCAAACGGTCGCAGTCGTTCTGGCACTTGATTGACGCCAGAAAATCTTTGTGTTTTTCTCCCCAATCAGAGTGAAGTATGCTTTGGAGTCCTTTCGTGTGTTTTAACACGGACATATACAAGAAGCTCAGTTGCTCGCCGTGTTTGTTTGGACTGTGTGACGAAGCTCTGCTTGAGGTGAAAAGTTTCAGTCTCAGCACACGATGTAAAAGAAATCAATCAGAGTGTCCGCGAAAATCTTACCGGAAATTATACTGAATACTTCCGCAGTATACTTATCGAATTGATCTAAATCAAATAATAAATATGAAAAACTGACCGGAGTCTTTAATTCATGCTTATTTACTTCATTTCTATGTTTCGTGCGGGGTAGTTTATACACCCTGTCGCTCATGAACCATTTACGTAATGCACCGTTAAAGAAAGTCAAACATAAAGAAATTATTTTACTTACAATGAACCAAAAGTGTTGTGTCCTTTGAAGCAATTTCGACCGAGTTGTTGGCTCTACAGGTATAAAGCCCTTCATCTGTTCTTCGTAGGTTGATTACCAAGAAAGCGGCCCCCTTTCCGGAACTAATCTCGATTCCTTTTCTGATCCATGTTACGTCCGGCTGTGGTTTTCCGGATGCTGTGCAACCAATAAGTGCGTAGGATCCCTCAGTATAATTTTTCTGTGCAGATGACAAACTTATTTTTGGTACCTCTACAAAACAAGTAAATGATAAAATTAATAAGTAATAACTACTTCTAGCGTCAAACTAAAATATTTAATCACACTTTAATGATATTGTTTTCGATCTCACCGGCCGTGTTTGTAGTTTCCACGGGAAATTGTAATAGACTGAATTTTTTCCCCTTTCCGGAATGGTCTAAGCCCGAAACCATAATTATATAAAAACACAATCCACAAATTACACTACTGACCGATATGAAAGGTAAGTTAGACGAAAGTAGGTTTGCATATAAATTTGGAAATCGTTTTTCATCCATCTGCACTTTTCATCTCGCAATTTAAGGAAAAGAAATTATTGAAATTTCCTTTTTTTTCCTCGGAAGCTAAGAAAAATTGAAAATGAACAAGGAAAGAGTCTACAGTAATTGGCTCTAGCTGTTGTGGAATCCCTGCCATTGTAAGTAAGTTTATAGTCTCTTTTCGTATTGTTACTTTGTATTGATGTGATTATATGTTGGCAAAGCTAATAAACTTAAACATAAACAAAAGCAGACGAATTTAATTTGATAACACCTGCGTGTTCACAATTTTGAGAAATCGGAATAGCAAACACAATGTGCAGTAATTATTCATAAGTAGTCTGCCTTCAGAAACAATGCAAGCTCCAAGTACTTAGGGAAAAAAGTTCCTAATCACTAGAAACATGGAAGTCAACTGTAACGATAAAAATTGAAGTACAACGCGGGTTTTTTTTTAGCTGAAAATCGCTCCCTACCCGTGAAGCATGAAAACACACACACATGTCACAAATCGTCAATATGAGTTTTTTGATTCAAGGAAGTGCCGTATTTGCCTTTAGAAGCCAAGAAACGATTTTTTGAGTGTGCAAATTACACGGTGCATAAATTTGTAAACATCAGCTATGTCTACTCGAGTGATGATCGAGACTTTTTTCACAACGTTGTCTTAAAAAATAAATAAATAAATAAAAAATACATTTGAATTTATATAAAATCTTTTGTTGGACCTGAAAAAGAATCTTTTGTCGGGCCGAAGACTTGTCAGGATGTCTAAAAGTTTCCCTCGAAATAAGAAGGCTATCTTTTTCATTTTTCAGCCATAATTCTAGAATATTGCACGAGAAAACGAATAATATTGAGCTCGAAAGCTAATTTCGTTGCTTTGAAACCTTGATGTCCATTTTTTGGAATCAAAGTGTTCCTATCTGTAAATAGTTTTCATTTTGAGCTCCAAAAACTCCAACTCGATCACACTGCACCTACTATACTCTGTCTTCCAAATTATATGATAAATAAAGAGCCAATGTTAGAAAACACATAACTATTGATAATAACGCTGATAATAAACTGAAGATCATGATCACATCATGATGATGGCGAGAAAGAATATGAATTTGTCGACCGGATCAGTGAAACAGACTCTAGGCCTTTTTGAAGGGTATGCAACCCTATCGTGGACATCATTAAAGTCACTTCCCACGGCTTCCCAGCCTAATCAGCCAAGCCGTGTTTACATTAGAAACGGACATTTATTTGGACAGTGATTTGACGATGACAATGATAAACACAACCATCGTTACCCTGACAGTTGGAGTGTTCACACATTGGTGAGTCGGTAAGAAGATTAATCAGAAGGAAGAAAATGCTAAGTGCCTCGTTTCCTAAAGACCTCGGGCACATTTTTTCCAAGTAGAGACCTGCTGACTAAGAGGTAACGTACATTTATAATAAAAATTATTTGTGATATTATTTGCATATTCACTAGTTTTTACTCATTCATTTTTTCATCATATATCTGTTGTTCTATTTGGAGGTAATCGTAAACTAGTTATACCCTTCGTGGTCAATTCTCGCAGTGGGAACGATTTAAATGTGAACAGTACTTTCGAACACACTAACAACATTATCCATCTGATTGCACTTGAGCATATATAAAACTTGTACATCAATTTGAAAATAGAATAAGAAAGATGGTAAGTTTTTAGCCCAGTAAAGAAATATAGAAAGATGTTTTATTTCTTATCACGCCCGTGAGACAAAAAATTTCGTGTACCCATGAGTCGAACCTCAGACCTTCGGATTCCGCGCTCCGATGTTCTACCGCTGACCCACAGAGACTGAGTGAGGTTCGATTCCACATGAAGACTCAGAATTTTTTTTTCCAAGCTTGTGACAAGACGGAAAACATTTTTCTCAACCTGTACATTGTATTATTTCCGTTAATATAAAAATACTGAAAGTGGTGCTGACTAAGAAGGGCAGCCAATACCACAATAATGATTACCACAGCTCATCAAAACTTTAGTTTTGAAGCATACTTACCAAAAACAACCAGATTAACAACACTTCGGACCACTGCATGACCTAGAGCTTGAGGTGTGAGTCTGCATTGATAAGTTCCCTCATCTTGAATACTAATCAAATTTAGCCAGAAAGTGACCTGGCCAGGACTACTTCAATCCCACTTTGCATCGATACGTCCACTATACGAAGAACGTGGGACGTGTACCGCTGAGGTTTTATCTATTGAAATTAATAGTCTACCTTTTCTCTCCAACTGAGCTCTTCTAACATTTCCGGTGAAGGCCCAAGTAAAGTTGACAGAGCCACCAATAACCCCAGTGACTTTGTCACCACCGGTAGAAGTAAAACTTACTTGGCATACTGTGCATAAGAATAAAAAAAACAGACAGTTATTTTCGGCGATAGACCAGTGTCGTGCGGTGGCCATTTTGGGTTTCTACCGATAAAATGTTTTAATAAAAATTTCGGTAAGGCTATTGAATTCTAGCATTCGGAGCCACAGTATGAGCTAGTAACTTAGCTCCAAGCGCCACATGCAGCCTGACCTCCATTGTTTTCATGTTATCATTTAACCATTGCCGACTCGAAACGAAACGTTTGGATTTTGGGAGTTGAATTATTGAAGAATTTCTTCTCAAGTATTTTCCTTCTTGGCAAAAGTTTTTGTTGCCACGACTTCTATTTTCACGTCTGGGAATTCCTTGTCCAATTCCGCAGGCAACAATTATTCATCGTCACCAAAATTAATCGTTCGACCGGATTTAGGAGCAATGTCAACTCAAACCACCCCGAAATGTGCATTTTTTTGTTAGCCATCTTTCGCGACATTTTTTTTTTTCTTGTCTTTGTTTTCTGTTTGCAAATAAAGTATATGGTCGGTATAGACCGGGAAACTGAAGAGACGAAAACGCAAAAAGTGATGGACCAAAGGCAACCACTTAACATTAGTTCACTGATAACATTTTCTAATGCTCATTTGTTAACCCTTTGCGCTGTATAAGGCAAAACTGATAAGTTTGCTTTAAAGGTCGAGCCCTCCCTGATGACTTATGCAAATTAGATTTAACTTTATTAGAGCGAGTCTATAAACGATGCAAGATGCAATCAAATCCAATTTACTTTTCCGCGTAACCACTGTGCTCAAATACGTAAAGTACGTGTGGGGGAGGGGACGTCATCAAAAACGGAACTGTACATTCTAGGCGAAAGTAGAGTGACACTCTTAAGTTTACATAGCTGAGCCAACATCCCTCTAAAAACAGAACATACATGCCCAATATTCTGCTGATACAACGGATACGATTTCGCCCAATTGAAAAGAGATATGTATACAACGTTTGAAACTGGGGGGATATTAAGATGAAATGATTGTCGCACTTCTCAATTGTTTGTTTCTAGGTATACAAATGGCTTTTTTTCCTAACTTTTCTTTATTCATAGGTCCCAGGTTCAGAATTATTTCCTTGTGAATCAGTAATACATCCTGATCAGTAATAACCTTGTTTGAATCAGTGAGAAGGATTCTGAGTGGAAATGGCACCGATTGCACTCAAACTGAAAGGGAAATTATCATAATTACACTTATTCGGCAAAGTAAAGAACAAGCTGAAGACGTTCAAGAGGCCATCTTTTAAGATCTAGGTTAACTTAAACTGAAGAACTAGGTGATACATAACCACAACAAAGCAATCGGAAATCACTGATTTGAAGACCTGGCTGCTTTGAATGACTAAGGTTCACCAGAGCATTTTACTCAGATTTCGCCCGGTGTTTCCCGTCATTTTTTACTCAAGATGGATCTTTTTTTTTTTTTAAATCTTTTTTTTTTTTTAATGTAAGAAGATTTAAGATGACGAAAGGCATTTTTTAATGCTGTTTGTCACCCTTCAGCGGTATTAAGACATAATGCCTATTACGGAAGTCAATTTCCGCCATTTCTCGGTTGTTATATATGGTTTAACGGATTCTATCCTGGACGCAGATCGCACACAAATTCATGTAAACGAGTCTTACCAGCCGTAGGAATGACAACAACAGCAGCCAGAAAATATTCAAGGATCAACTGGACCTTACACATGATCGAGATTGTCTTTTTCACTCCAAAACTACGAAACCGAATGGCTGATTTCACCCTTTCGCAATTATGATTCTCCGTCAAGGAACTTTTGAGTGGCATTGTGACTCTTTGTTGAAAGGTTACTTCAGCTGGTTTTATGCAGTCACGTGTGTGCTCGTTACAATGGACTACTTGATTCAACCCAACCCACTTAATTTCAAAAAGAAAGAAAAGGAAAATATTTCATCAGCGCTGAGTTGTGACAATAATCAATTAGTTTACTCCTTTAGCTTGTTGCAATTCTTAATTTTTCCTCTGTACTAGATCGTATTTTTGGTTAGAGCTTGTTCGGCAATTAGGTACAAACCAGATCAAGTCGTAAAAGAAATTTCAGGTTGATTACAGTTAGCAAGGAACAGTTCTGGGTCTTACAAGGAAAATACAAAGGAAATACAAAATGTACTGGTGGCTGAAAGTAAGAAAAAAAGACATAAATCAATGTTAAGTAAGTAGATTATGATGAATAACTGATGATGACAAACAAAATGAAGATAAATGAATAGGTTATGAAAAAACTGAAGGAAAACGGGAATAAGAATGACTACAACAACAACAAAACTATAAACAGGATTTCTTAGCTAAAGATCTGATCGCGAGCACCAAGTGAAGCGACTAAACAATAAGTACAAAATTAAATGAAATTTTGTTTATTAGGAATTGAGCGAAGAATCAACATTTTGGTCCAAAATTTACTGTTAACGGAGTATTCCTGGTGGAAGTTATCCAAATCGATAGAAATTTGACGGCCGAGGGTGATTGTTTTAATCTAATGATATTTAGTCCATTCCTATGCTGTTTCGTTCTGCTTAAATTTACTGAATGAGACTTAGATCTTTTGTCTGTACAAATTAAAGAATCATGTCTTTTCGTTTGGAAGTTCTGAAGCTTAACTTTCATATTTTTAGCTACGTAACAACAGCATATCAAATTGAACGAATTGTTTTTTAAGAAATGCACGACAGATCAGCTACCCTATATAACGAGATATTTATTTTTCATTTAACAAAACCCACTCCCCGTTCTTGGTACATCTTCAAAAAATATAAATTACATCCTTGCCATCACCTGCTGCGCTATTCCCATTTTAAAACGGCACGCTACCTTTCCAAAATAATCTAATTCTAAGGAGCCGAATATCATTCCTCAGGAATACAACACGTCAGTACCAACAAAATTAATCAGTTACAGTGCAGCCGTGAATTCATGCATTTCCTGATCAATTACTTTCTCTTTTCAGTATTTTGATCCAGCCTTATCCGGACTGAGCCTTTGCGGATATGACCTCGGATAAATCTCAATCCGGTGGATTGAGATGTACGTTTTGTTAACCGGTTTATCTGCTCAGAATGGCGATTTATCCGCCCTTCGAAGAATTAGGTCCAGATGACTACCACCAAAAGAAAGAAAAAAATCCGGTATGAAAAATTAAAGCTAAGCCTTGTCCATACTTGGTTGTCCTTGTCTGTCCTCGTCCACGGCTTCATCAAGTTTAGTATCGGTGAAAGAAAACAAATTAAATGCGTTTAAATTTAACTTAACACCATCGCATTTTAGGTCTCCCCGCTATGCAATTAAGTCAATCTTTAAACATAAATAAATGGATAAAGAATGCCAAAAAAACATTAACAACGATGCTATTTTTTGAAATTGGATATCAATTTGCGGTCAGCTCTGGTATCAGCGTTTAATGTCTTTATTTAAGAGCAGACAAAAAAATTTCCGTTTACATGATAAGGGTCACCTTTCCTGAGATTTTGCATCCAAATGTCGAAAACAACACGTCATGTTTATTTTGTGGAGTCGATAAAAAGGTTGCGCCGTTGAAAAATGAGCAGACTCTAAAAATTAAAAAAAGTTGCTGCATAAAGTTGTCTTTCCCTGTCGGTTCTTATTACTGACATCTGAAAACAAAACCAACCAACATAGAGTAGGGTCAACACATTACTCTGAAGGAATACATCTTCTAAACGATTGTTTTTCAATGGTCTGAAGAAAGGATTGATCTCTGCTAAAATAAAAGCGGAATGATCGTACACTTTCGTTCAAACCAATACTGATCATTTCCTGACTTCAGCTCTATTCATTTAAGACAGCGGTCAAACGTAAGGCTGTGTGAATGGGTAAATTTTTCCCAGCTGCGCGCTAATTATCCGCAACACTTCAGACAAATTAAAATAAAGAACAGGAGCTGGAAATGAAGAACCGGGAACGGGTAATCGGGAAGGCGTTATCGGGAAGGGAGTTTGGGACCGAAAATGCAGCTGTAATCCGGATAAAATTAAAAACGTATGGGGTTTTGAGCAAGCGCTCTCCGAACTCGACCGTTATAGCGATCAGCAATGGACGATGAATAAAGTATTTCTCAATCAAAATCGCAAGTGTGAAAGAAATAATCAAGTCATCGGAGAAGTGAGTGTCTGAGAATCAATCGTAACATTTGGAAGAAGACCTCATAATGTGCAGTATTGATGGAAATCTGAAAAAGCTCATAGGTGCAAAATAAACTACAATGCCCGACCCCAACGATAATTGTATTACTGCCACGGGCGACTAACTCTAACAACCACAATTTCAAAACGGCGAAACGACACGACACGAAACAACACGGTTAAAACTGCAAATAAAACAGCAAACGAAAACCTATTACAATATAAACTACACTAAATACCCAAGGAAAGCTACAAAGAAAACGACGACGAAAACTACATAACACAAACTTATATTTGTTGCGATGTTGTAAATCCTGCCTAGTGGCGAACAAGCTGCGCGAAGCGAAAAGAACGAATATACAAAACACTTGACAAAACTGCACTGGAAAAAACTGCACCAACGATGAACAATACGGTTTGGTTCTCCACCCAAGTTGTCACTAGTTTCCAGGTATAACATAAAAATAATAACTAAACCTCAGTCACTGGTGCCTTTTCAGCATTTTATTGTAATGAACATCGACGGTGTGGACAATTCTTACAGCGATGTGCCAGCAAAAAAAAAAAAAAAAAAAAAAGCCACACAAACTATGTTCGTGTCATTTTTTTACCTCATCGTTTCCATAACGTTTCCACCTCTGTTGCCTTTTAAATTTGAATTTGCTCTAGTTAATTAAATTGTAATAATACATATAAATTATCCTCCCCGAAGTAAATCAGACAGTTTAGTTAGAATAAAAATCTTTCGTTTGGGATGGGTGCTTCGTTGGCTGTTCATGAAATCTTCAAACCAAATTTTTCAACCAGATAAACAAAGGTATCCTTTTTCAAACAACTGCTCGTCGAATGACTTGCAATTAGTTCACCAATTAGTTCATATGTGGTTTTGCATGGCAGCCATGTTGCATGGCAAGAACAATATCAGTACTCGGTCATAAAGGGTCGGGACAGAAGAAGACAGCTTTTGTTCCTTTGGTCAGGACGAGTGGATCACTTTGATTATACACATATCGCTAAGTTACGAGCCATATATCGATAATCCGCCGACAGTTGCAAAATTTCGTAATTCAATTTATTTTCCTAAAGGACCCTTTTAATCAAAACCTTTTTAAAAAATTATACAAAAGATAGAAGGATCATCTGTTAGCTTATAAAATTTAAAGGCGGGATTGTATCGCATCGAAGGAATGGCCGTGAAGGCGTATTTGGACTTTTCGATTTTTCGGAGGTAGCAAAGCGCGATATAGCTTTTAATCGATCATGATATCATTGGAAGATGGTCAGTGGCTCTTAAGTTCCACTCAGCAAAGACCATCAGACCGCGAAATTATAATTGTCAGCAGTGCTAATCATGTCAGCATCAGGCCTATTTGATTTTTTTAAATTGTTGACAACAACCGTTCACTGACAGAGAGCCAGCACGCTCATCTTAAGCAGGTACCCGTTGCTTCCCGCTGGTAAAGCTGTCGATAAATTACTCCCGCTGGAACCTGACCTCAGGGGCTACTCATCCAATTTCCATTTGCTAATCAGTACTCGGTTTGTTTTCGGAGTTGAGACCGCATTTATTTCAATTTAATTATTAGTTTTATGAACAAAACAGAGAATACGTATACCAGCTTGCTAGCGATAATGCTTACGCCAGCTAACAGGAAAAACGCTCATGAGAGAGAAAAAAACACTCATGAAGAGTAAGAACTTGGACTGGACTTACGAACATGGACAAGTTTTGTGTTAGCAAAAGTTGTTTCCCTACCTGTCCTAGAAGATAAACAAAACGGAAATAAACATAATTTTGTTTGAGCGTTTCCATAGGTTGCCTTCTTACTGCAAATGCAAAATATCGCCAGGACAAGAAAAGATGCCATTTTGACCTCAAACACCTACCAATATTATGAAAAAACAACGGTCCAGGAGTTCAAAATTCCATTCCGTAGACCAAAATAAAGTTATTATATTTCTACTCTAATTAAATCTAGAATTGTCAGAAGAAACACAGCGCACATGAACAAATAACAAGTTCTCTTCTTCCCTCCCCCCCTCTCCCCCTCTCCTCACCATTCAACCGTTTATCTCTTTAATTTGTTCCTTTCTCAATAACGTCCTGTTTTTCCAAGTTTGTGTTATTTTGTATTATTTTAGAAGTCGATCATGTTGATAATGTGGATGTATCAAGAAGAATGTTTGATTCTCTTGTGTCCAATCGGCCAATCAGACTCGATGTTCTATTTACAATTCAAGACAAAGAGGACAACTAAAGGATTATTAGCACTTAGCTTATTGCGGAATTGTAAATTTTCGAGATTTATTTACCGCAAATTGAGATCCTAGGCTCAGCTACAGAAGCGTTTAAGCTCGTTCAAAATCGGGAGAAGTTGTCGAACGCGAATTTATTCCACTAAGGTGAGTTGTCTACACTGTTTATAACCATAGGGTGAGGCAAAAGTTACCTCTTAAGTTTCAGTAGCTGAGCTCTGTGCGGATTTTATAAGCTGCAAATGACCAATTTATTACCTCACCGCTTTGAAGAGATTTTATATATCAACTCTTCGATAAGGGAAGTAGAAAAGCAAGGAGCGAAGTTGTAAAACTGCATACATCATTTTAAAGAGCCACTGAACTCACTCAATCAATATACCATCGAATGATGTTCGCTAAAAATTACCAAAACCGCCCTTATCATATTACGGTTTTATACGATTCATTCTATTTTGTCTCTGGAAAAAAAGTGATTTACAAAGGTCTACAGCCGTAAACGAAAAAAATTAATTTACTGCGGTGTAGACAATGCCTGTTCTTTAGCATAAACTCGTTGTAATGCTCACCGAGGCGTTTAATAAGTGCTGTTAAAACCGTAAACAAAGGGAAGTTGATGATTTGTAAAATGGTCATTATAGAGCATAACACGCTGTACTAAACTAAAAAAACTTTTTTAAAAACAAGACCGAACTTATGGAACAATGTTGAGGTAAAGAACTTCGGTCCGGAAACTTGCCCGCCGACAGGTTGACGGCTCGATGGTTTGTTTGCAGCTCCAAACCTGCGCATTCCTTCGAGCGAAATTAACGGTGTAATCTTGAATGCTGTTTGCGTATTGTATCAGCGTCCTTTCGAGTATTATTTTACAGTGGCTGAGTTAAGTAACTGAAAAATGACGCTTTGAATCTGGCAAATGATATCCTGACGTTTTACATGATCTGTTTTCATCATTTTGATTTGATATTTTTTACCTCTATAAACCGCAAAAGAGATGCGCACGACACTGAAAATAACTTTCGCTTTAAAAGGTGCCCTTCTGCCACAGGTATTTGCCCTGTGTTGTTTTTGATAACATCACAACATTTACAGAGCATCGATCCATTTGTGGTTTTTGCCGAGGAGACTTTAAATGGCTCAAAAATTTTCAAGGCTGCTGAACAAACAAGGAAACATGAAAGAAAGAAAGTTTGATATCTATATATTTCATTAGTTGATACAAAAACTATGAAATTTGCATTCTGTCACGGAACGAAACTAAAAGTGAACAACACGTGACAGCACATGACCTCATGTGAGTTTAGTTTTACGCACTTCCTAATTTTGGATTTTCTTTTGCTGTACTTCAAAATATGGAACCTTACGATTAAGAACAAAAAAGAGGCCTTAACGGAATCAGTGGGATAATCTCGATATCTTAGTGAGAAGAATACTTAAATTCTTGGACTAGAAACACATGATTGCGCGAAGCTACCCTGGCGTGACTGCGTTACACCTTATGACGTTGGTACTTCTGAGAAGTTCCATTTCCGGCATGCCTTAAACGGGCTAAAATTTATTGACTTGTCAGACAGTTTTAAATATATTTAGCGAGAGGTAGTGGATATCTATTCTGAACCGTTTGAGTCCACACTGCGCCAGAGGAGAAGCATTTGTTTGGAGTCATTTAGATAGGGTAAGGTAAGGCAATCTTCACTCCTTTATAAACATAGTGAAACTCGAGTATCTCTCGCGGTGTTGTGAAAGATAAAGGTTTGAAACTCATCAAACCATATTTTCACCAGACGAGTTTTAAATAAGCATACAAATAATGAAATAACTCCCTTGGCAAAAATCCCCGGAGATTGATTGCCGCAAGTGCGCGATTCTAAAATACGTGTGCATCGTGTAATATTACTTAGTAAAGCTAGTTTCAGTGATTGTTCTGTCTAGGATCGCCAGAGTAGGATAAATTTGTGAATATCGCTTAAGGGCAGCAGATGGTATACGTATTTTGGCAACAATGATATATCACTATGAGGTGTAAACTACCTGTCTTTAAATTAAATGCGCGTTGTTTAAAAGTGCATGCATTCTTGTTTATATTTCTCTGGCTAATATCCATGTTGGCTCGTATGCAATAGCCTTTTATTTACCCGTGAATCTTCGCCGAGATTTTTACGGGAAAAAATTGAGCTCCCTAGAAAATAGACGCTATAAGTGGATTATTTTGGGAGACCGTGATCCATTAATCCTCTTTAGGCTAATAACATGTTAATTTTGTCTGTTAAATATCATCAGTCATGTGAGACTCACGAGATTTCACCGACATCCGAAGTTAATAAATTCTCTGTGAAATTCACCTTTATGCCAGCGACAGACGAAACTTCTTGGCCATTTGCCTGAAAAGCCTTCGCGTCGCGAAATACAGTGCGAACTTCCGCTGTTTTATTTTTTTATTTTTTTTTGCGCTATTTGTTTTGTCGTCTTAAGTTGTCTATAGAATATTGAGGTCACCTTCAACTGTAACGACACGTATCGTATTTTCTTGAATGAGCGCTCGGGCACTTATTTCAAATTACGGCTAGAAGGGAAGGCACTTATTCGGTTAGCATGGCAATAGTAGGAATAAAAAAAGAAAAAACAAAAACGGATACTCTGCAAGCACACAGAAAAGAGAAGAACTGGAAGTGACTTGACGGAAAAGAAACTATTGTCTTCTGCTGATCCCACTGTAGTTGAAGCTTAAAAAGTTATTTACAAAATGGTCATAGAAACAAACTTTCAGATGTATCCTTACTATTTAAGGAATTATGAGAGGGGTAGAGGCGCTTATTCGAGGGTGCTTCATTATGGCCCTCGGGGAGTGAGCGCTTATTCGCGTGAGGACCCTTATTAGAGCGTGCGAGGGCGCTTATAAGAGCGCGGTGGCTTATTCGAGGAAATCGACAGTAGCCTCTATTTGGCGTACTAACGTAAACACTACTGTGCTTATTATCTTTCAAATATTTTTGCAACGCGTGGGAAAAATGTTAACGAACAGCTTACTTCTTGCAGCGTGAGAATTTTACTTTTCGGCGTTGTCTGGTACGACTTTGTGAAGAAACAATGTTCTTTCTTTTGTAACACTGTCATCTTGAATCAAATTTTAAACAAAGGTTTTTATCGTGGAAGACGTTAAGTTTGAAAGTTGGTGAATATCAGTGACGTGGGGTATAACCCCAATTATTCCCCAGTTTTGGCTGGGTATACTTGATCACCTTATGCGTTAAGACCAATCGCACGCCATCGTTCACTAAGAATATTAATAGATTCTTGTTTGTTTGCTTGTCCTCAGTTGTGGTTTGTAATGCTCTTCTCACCTTGAATTAGACATCTTGTGATTTGACAGTGTTAAGTTTTCTTTTTACTGTTGTTTAATTCTTTATATATGATTATTCATTCATTTTTTTTTTTTCAGTCATGCCTAACCAGTTTCAGAAGGAGAGCTTAGACGCACACAATCAGTACCGTGCCCAACACGGTGCCCCGCCATTGAGGTGGTCCTCAAAACTAGCATCCGATGCGGAGAAATGGGCCAAACAACTGGTGAAGTTAAATCGTCTGCAACACCACACTGGAGATGATGGCGAAAATCTTGCCTATGCCTCAGGTAGACTGATCATAATTTGTTGTTGCAGCATGTTTTGTTTGCATCACATGAGGAATTGGCCGCTGTAAGCTGAAATTTGTTCACCATCAAGAATTTTTACTGGAGTTGACTCGATACGAAAGGCGAAAGGCCAAGCTTGACATACTTGGATGTAAACCACGAAAACTGAGTCGAGTTTAGAAAGTCAAGCATGTCAAGGTTTGGTGGTAAACTTCCGCCAAAAGTCAATGGAAATAAGAAGATAAAATTTTCTTTCGCGGTTTTTACTTGCTCCCTAGGGCTTTTCTATTCCTTTAGGTATTACGAGAAACATTTTTGTTGTTGTTGTTGTTGTGTTGTCACCTTTACGAAAACAGTAGTTAAACAAAAGAGGTTGCCATTTCACAGTATGGTTTTTCTACCAACTTTATTTAATCAACTAATTTACTCGCGTCCAAACATGTTGAAGTTACTCTTCTACGTCAAACTTCAACGGTTTTGATATGTCTTTCTCAGGGTATGAAATGACGGGTCAGAGAGCCGTAGACATGTGGTACGAGGAGATCAAAGACTACAACTTTGGCAACCCCGGATTTTCTTCCGGAACAGGCCACTTTACGCAGGTTATATGGGTAGGTTCCCAGGAGGTGGGGGTTGCCAAAGCAAGCAACGCTAATGGCACACAATTCGTAGTCGCACGGTATTACCCTGCTGGGAACGTTCTAGGACGCTTTCCAGAAAATGTTCAGCCCAAAGGGTCAAAGATTTCCAAAAATGCTGGAAAGAAGACGGAACAGCCTCGTGGTAACAGACCAGTGGGTGGGAAAGTACAAGTCACTGTTAATACCAAAGGAGCTTCTGACAAACCACGTGAGTTTGACGACGTTTTCTCGAACGGCTATCTAAGACTCTACTCTACATTTCGATCTTGGTCTGAAATTTTCCTTTTTATCGCTCAAGTAAGCGATGCGCACCAAGAGAGGAAAGATATAGAAATCCAAGAGAAATTTCTTGAATCTTTTGCGATGCAAATGCTAGTACCAAATGTTGTATTGAGGTAAATGTTCTCGCAGCTCGGGGATATGACTTTTCGCTACTTTTTATTACATCGCTCGACAGGTTACGGTCAGAAAGAGAGACTCTGATTTTTTTCGTTTTCTCCTACTAAAGGGAACCAACAAGTGTTATTTGTAGGTTTATTGTTATTTTTTGTTTGTTTGCCCACGCTTTGTTTGTTTGTTTGTTTGTTCGGATCGCAAGGGCAAGTCACAACAACCAATCATTCACTCAGTGCTCCGCAGACAATTTTTGCGAAAATCTTAACCTTACAGCAGAATCTTATCCCCGAATGAAATTACACAAACCCAAGCTGTTCTGTTTGAATGCGATAGTTTTGAATTGTGATTTTCAGCTCATTTCAGTCCTATGACACGCATTTTTTTCGTTTATTTTCTGAACTAGAAAGCACCAGAGAATTCAAGAATGAGCTTCTCAAGTCACACAACGAAATCCGTTCTCAACATGGCGCACCTTCCCTCAAATGGAATTCGAAACTGGCTGCAGAGGCCCAATCTTGGGCAGAAGACTTGGCAAGTAGGAACTGTATACAGCCCAGCAGCTCAAACGACTACGGAGAGAATATCGCTTATATGTCTGGTAGGATAGATATTTAGATCTTCTGTATTATATGCATCCAGGAACAACTAAATTATCAGCCCGTGCGCGTGCAAGAGAAAGACAAAGAGAGGGGAGACGCGCGCAAGTCGTGGACCACTCGAGTGTCTTTTCTCGTACGCCGCTTCCCTACCATTAGACACTCACGTAAAGTATGTCGTCACTGTGGTAACTGACTTGAGGTCTTCTACGATCACATAGTACAAAGAAAAAATCTGCAAACCTCTGGAAAACGTATGCAAAGTTGGTGCTTAGAAGAAATTTCAATGAAAGCATCGCTGAAACAACGATTGTGGAGAGGACAGTCTAACATACTGATTCGATTTCAAGTCTTTTTCGGATAAGACAAAAAGGAATTCACTGTGGATTCTGTGATTGACATTTCTCATTGTACCTGAAAATTAAGCGGTTTGAAACATTTTTGTGTTCTTTGTTTTTTTAGCATGTGAACGATACATTAAGATGATCTAGGTGAAGCGTACTGTCGCAATTTCGGCCATCTGTCTTAACTTTTTACCTTTATTGTTTGTTTTTACTTTGGGTGTTTGTTTCATTACCATAAAACTTTATTTCTGGACTGACTTTTTTTTTTCTTTCGTAGGAGGGCAACTTACAGGAAGAAAAGTAATAGATATGTGGTACGAAGAACACGACAAATACAGCTACGGGAATCCAGGGTTTTCCTCGACTACAGGCCATTTTACCCAGATAGTTTGGCAAAGCTCTAAAGAAATGGGAGCCGGAAAAGCTGTTAGTTCAAGTGGAGCACAATTTGTCGTGGCGCGTTATCAGCCCCCAGGGAATGTCCGGGGGCAGTTCCCCGAAAATGTCAAACCTGCAGGAACCGGAGGGGGAGGTAAGTAATAAGTCCAATCTCTGATTAAAGTATCTTCAAAGAGTTAGAAAAATGGCATTTTTCAGCAGCAAATGACATTGATCTTTTCCTTCGATGCTTTGAATTTATACCTCAATGGCTCCAAGGATTTCATCGATGACTCTCCCTTCTACTAACTTGTAATTCTCCCATTTAACTGCTGTCTTTTCGACCCCCCTCCCCTCTTTAATAATTTATAATAACCATGTTTTTAATATTTAAAAAATTCGGCTCCTTGTGCCCAGGCTCATCTCAGTTGCATACACAGACTTGACTTTGTAGGCGCGGCGGTCGCTTTTTTTGAGGTCGAGGTTCCACCGTATCGTGTTGTGACTTGTACTGCACGCAATGACGGGAGCAGTTTTAGTGTTGGTCGTCTGGAGCCTCAACGAAAATTTTATTCGGAAAAATTGAGTTTTATTTCTGATTGTCTTTTTCTGTTTCCTTCCAGGAGGACAAAGTTGTTGTGTCATTTTATGAATAACGAAATACCAAGAGACTTTATCTGGCACTAAAGGCTCCACGACGGCGGAACACCAGATTGAAATTTGTTTTAGATTAAAAGAGAAACAATTAATAGGTATGCTACAATCGCAGACAAAACATGTTTGATAGGTTATTCATTTATGATGGAAAAGAACTGAAAAAAAATATATATCGTGATTTTTCTTCTCTACACCCTCCTTGTTGATGTCAATGCAAATGTCGAATATATGATTTCCGCGGACAAATAAGACAAAACAACACTGGAAGAGGCACAAGGGCCAGAAAAAGTACCAAATGCGAGCCAGGATTGGAAAAAAGGGTTTACACTTAGCATACTATTTTATTTGCGGTGGCCAATTTACATTATCAACTCGGTTGATAAAACCGAATTATCTTGTAATACCCCCTAATGTAACACCATAGTTTCTGTAGGAAATTACCCCATGTACACTTGGCGTAGTCGTCTCAACAGTTTTGTCCGTGACTCTCGTCTTGATGCTCCAGAATATTACGATTTAAAACGGCAGGTTCGAAAGCAAAAAAAAAAAAACACACTCAATAAAATAATTATAACGCATAGGTTATCTCGATAAAAAGAAAGGATATAAATTAAAAAAAAAAACCAAGATACAGGTTGCGAACATTCTTTTAAAATTGAACACTCAAGAGTCTCTTCAGAAACTTCAAATAGTAGGTAACCTACTTTAATCATGATGTTTATGCACATAGGCGCTCGTGAGGGTCTCGAAGGGGGTACAAATGCCAGTTGTCAATTAAAATTTCGGCCATTAATATAATCAGTTGTCAGTTATATTCTATGCCATTTATCAGTTGTCAGTTAAATGACCGTTAATAATTAACTTTGCAAGTTAATTATTACTTTACCACCCTATTATCGGCTAGATTTTTAAATGGTTAAGATTCTGGTAATCGGGCATCATGAATGTAGACAGAAGCTAAGTTATGGTGATGACTTCCTTCAATAAAATGACAAAAATATAGAGTTGTGATTTTGTTTTGCCCTGCTTCAACTTGGTCCGCCTCGATTCTTTTGTAAGTAAGTATTTGTTGTAGTCGTTGTTGTTGTCGTCGTGTTTTCGCAATCTGTCGTTGTTGTTTTCATATTTCTCGTTGTTGTTGTTGTTGTGATTTTCGTATTTCTCGTTGTTGTTGTAGTGCTCGCATTTCTCATTGTTGTTGTTATCGATGTTGTTGTTTTAGCAAGCTCTCAATGGCGCTGGGGCAAAACCATATCTGCTTTGTAAGCTGGCCCATCCCCGGCAAATAAATTCGGGGGCCATCGTTGATATTACTGATGTTGCTGGTGTTGTTACCTCTATCAATGCTGTATTTTCCCTCGATCGTCACAAAATTTCCCTGACCTTATGGATTTCTCTGTGATGACCTGCAGCGAGCTTAACCTGGGTTCATTCCTCCCCCTTTCACCATATCCTACATTCCTTTCATCCGTCACTGTTTTTGGGCAAATGCAAACCATCTTTATGTAGTGCTTTTAATTTGAATCCATACGACCCCATGGAACCAGTAAATATTTACAATGTAACCGTTTAGCTTGAGGCCTGGTTAGGAAAGTTTTGTAAGATTAAGAGCTTATTAATAGATGTCTGATGTATGATCATGAAATTCGGTTGAAAGCTTTTCTGATAATTTTGATTTTTTTTCCGAATTTCTGACGCTGACTCAAGCATAAAGAAATGATGCAAAGAAGGTAGGTATCACAGTTATATTAAAGTGGATGGTACACCTCTGTCTGCCTCAAAAGTGCAACAATTGCTGAAGGTTATATTCCTGGTATATGCTACTTTCCCGAATAAAGATTGTATTGATCAGCGGTCAGTTGAAACATCAAAAAAGAGTTTTTTCAGTTGTAAGTATATGAATTCATCTTGTGTCTTCATAAGGATATTTTAAATAAGTTTGAACAACTTTCCGTTCACTTCAAAGAAATTCAATTTTGGATTTCTTCAGTTTTATATTCGCCGTTCTCCTTTTTAGTGCGCAAGCCCATCCTCGAGACCTAGAGGTAACAAATCGGGTGAAAGGGAAATTAAACGGTTGTTTCGACTGGAATATTACAAATTTTCCTAACAGACGAAAGCGTACACTTGTCTATAAAGTCAGCTTTCGCATCCCAGTCGAAACAGCCATCTTATCTGCCTTTCGCGTTTACTCACGCATCTCCGAGGATGATCATGACGCAAGCCCTAATCTAAATTTCAGTTTAGTTTCGTCGTGTTATATTCGACAGCATGCTATCAATTAAATTGAATTATTTCTTTTCTCAAGAAGAAACTGAAATTGCCCAAACAGTTTACAATTTCTTTTTCTTGCTGCTACACATTTTCTCATTAACTAGTTTTTGAGAATTTGATGCTATATCAACATAACAAATTTTTCCTGATAGGCTTGAGTGTTCTTATTATTTGCTTGATGGATAACGTATGGGTATCAAATGGAGAAGTTATATGTTAATATTATCGTTCCGGGGAGTTAAGGGTTTACGCGCTTGACTGTGTACGCATTGCAGCCCTATCGTTCCTTCGGGCGCCTTCAGTCTCTTCAGCGGATGCATTACGCAAGGTCTTCCTTTTCACGTGTGCTTTCCATCATGGCGCACTACAACTTCAAGAAGATCACAGTTGTGCCTTCGGCAAAGGTGAGGATCGAGGAGAGTTGTGTTTATTTTTCCAGTGAAAAATTGTCTAAAAAACTTGTTTTCTACTCTAGGATTTTGTCGACATCGTTCTGTCCAGAACCCAGCGAAAAACACCGACTGTAATTCATCGGTGAGTTGTTTATCTGTAGCGTCAGCTGTTACTTTTCGGTAGGATAAAACTCATCAAATCCGTTACGATTTTGGCCTTGGTGATTGCTGAAATCTCAGGACATAAGCCTGTTAAACTACTGTAGTTTTCGGACTAGTTTGACTAGCTTATGTAAACCTGTGTGCCTTTTTAGTCGCGATCGTAGACTTAAGTTAAACAGTAAAGACCAACGCAAATCATGTATACATTTTTCATTGTCTCTGTTACCTCACAGGTGAGGTTTTACAAATGAATTTTTGTGAAAAATGTTTATTTGATTGCTTATTAGCAGGGAGATGATTTCATTGGCTTGTCTACAGTAGTTTACACTCACAAGTTGATCATTTAAAATTATTATTTTTCATGTACATTGTGGTCCAGAAAAGAAGTGTTGTCTGAGGCAGTAACTGATGTTTCTAACTGGAGTTGAACTCAACGCAAGTCAAAGACTGGGGCTCACATTACACAGGCTATTCTATTAGGGACAATCAAGCTTCATAACGTACAATTTTTGCTTTATAGCATTTAGCATTTACTGTATATTTGATTATAATCAACTTGTTGTTTTATGAATAGACACTACAAAATCAGCCGGATTCGTGGTTTTTATATGAGAAAGATCAAGTATACCCAACAGAATTATCACGACAAATTGACACAAATCATCACAGATTTTCCAAGACTAGAGGTAATTGTGCAATGAATAATTTCTTTCTAATCATTTTACCGGTATTTGTTTCCTCTGACAACCAGTTACACATTCAGGTGAATCACCTTATTGCAGTTGTCTTATGGGAAACATCCTGGGACAATCAGTGATTTTAATTTTAATTAAGTCATGATTAACAGTGGTCTGATTCACAGCTGTATACTCAGTAAATTAATAAAATCAATTTTTTTTTTTCAGGATATCCATCCATTCTATGCTGATTTGATGAATGTTCTCTATGACAAAGATCATTACAAGCTGGCTCTAGGACAAATAAACACTGCCAGGCAATTGATTGACAAGTAAGCAAATTTGAATATATACAGTTTGGTCTTTGGGAGAACCTTTGTTTTGAGACTCTTCTTTGGAGAGCCAGTTCTCTATTCCATAAACACAACTTTTGGTCTTGAATGAAGAGATGAGCACAAACATCACCTTCATTGCTTTTAAAGAATATTTACCAAAACTTGGACTTTGTTAGTGATCAGTTATCAATGATTTAAGGGATTGAATTCCAATATTTAAATTTAAGTTTGTTTTGATCTATCTAATTTTGTTCATGTTTCTTTTCTATCAATTTCACTTTATAGTGTTGCCAAGGATTATGTGCGGCTCATGAAGCATGGTGATTCACTGTACAGGTGTAAACAGTTAAAACGAGCAGCTTTGGGAAGGTGGGTAGCCTGTGCATGACTTTACAGTGATAATTCTCTTATTATTAGTCTTTATTATCCAACAACACTCCTGAGAGTACAAATAATGCCCAAGATGAATACAAATCTCACATGGTATTTGTACTTCAGAGAACCAGTTAGACAGGTTTTCTCACATTGCACAAGCAACAAATTGGACTGAAGTTCAAGAAAAAAAATGGTGGACAATTTAAATCGTTTTTTCTGAGGAGGAAGGGACTTGGAATGGTCAGCAAATATTGATTCAAGTTTGTGAGATAAATTGAAAGAAGAAAAGCAGTTAGATGACAATGAAATTTCATCATTAATTAATGAAAATAGAAACAGCAACATGACAATGCGCCAATTCTGTTCCACTTTGCACACTTCTGTCCTGCACTCCCTGTCAATAAATATGCGCAAAATTTGCCCATTATTAACATGAAATAAAGGATGTAGAGCACATTTAAGACATTAAAAATGCTCAGTGTACTACAATTAGCCACAAAATTATTGACACCTTGACCTTTTCGAACCCCTGAACCACTGAAATAACAGTTTGGCATGTTGGATAATGAATAGCTTAACATCAGATGTTTTGGTGTACATTGGATCGCTGAGTATTTTTACTTGTTATTTGTAGTTTGTCTCACCCTACAGGCTCCTCAAAGTACATAGCAACTCATAAAAATACTCAGTGATAGTACAGCGAAACTTCTATTAACTAAGATATTATGTATTCGGTATCTGCTAATTTTAACAAACTGATCAAGATTATGGCAAAGGGTATACAAGCTGAAATTATAAAGCAGTGGAGATCAATACAAAATTTTGCAGCTACATGTATCATTTGAACATCCTATAAATCAATATCCATATCTGAGCAATTGCACACCTATCCCTCCCTCCCCTATCCCAACAAAAGTCAACAGATGACAAGTTTAAAGGTGATAATAACCACAGATGACAAGTTTGGATTAATTTTGGATTGGAGGGGAGGGGTCAGTGTGCAGTTGCTTAGAAAATGTTATTGTTTCTATCACACTCAGGACTACAGTACATGTACTTCTGTTAATTACCTGAAATCTGCTTTAAAATTAGTTGACACAATGTGTTTGAAGAGTGCTATTTATGTGCTGAAAAACACAACTGTTTGTGTCATGCTATAAACTCCCCTTCCACATTCAGTGTTGCCTCTATGAAGCCAAGAGTCCCCAGAATCTCAACACAACAGTTTTATTTTTGGAGAGATGGGGTGAATAGGTAAACTTAACAAGGTCAAAAGGTAGAAATTTGAAGCAATAGGGGTTCGAAAAGGTCAAGGTGTCAATAATTTTGTGGCTAATTGTAGTACACTGAGCATTTTTAATGTCTTAAATGTGCTCTACATCCTTGAAGTGTACCATTTAAAAGCAAGGATTGCTTAACCTTGTGAATGTTAGCAGTTAATAATTTTCATGTTAATTTTCTTCTAGGATGTGTACAATTATGAAGAGGCAAAATCAGAGCTTACAATACCTAGAACAAGGTTAGATTGTTCACATGATTATTTTATCAAAAGCTACAGTATTTTGCTGGATATTAAAATAATTATTCTTGGAAAATAGCACAAGACTTTTATTGATACATGTACATGTATGTAGGACTTGTCTTAAAGGCTTTTAATGATCAGAATCAATTGTGCAGACATGTATACAGCTGTAGTGTTTTTTTTTTCTGCATTAATGGCGAGTGTCACATGCTTAAAACTGACTAAATCTTGGTGTACATGATGGTAACACTTAAAT